AAATATAACTAAAAATGATAGAAATAAAATTTTATTTACTATCATATTTAGTTTGATTTTATATATAAAATATATAAATATATAAAATAATAAAGAAAGAAAAAGTTGAAAAAATAAAATATTGAAAAATGTGTGAATATTATTTAATTAAAATTATAAAAAAAAAAAATATTATTGTGTTGAAAAATTGTAAAAATAAAGCTATTATTTGTGTGAATAAAATAATAAAGAAAAAAAAAAAAAATGTTTTCTTTAATTCAAAAAAAAAAAAAAAAAATTAAAATAATAAAAATTTATTTATTAAAAAGAAAGAATTGTTTAATTTTTTTTATAAAATAAAGAAAATAATTAAAAAAATAATTGTAAAGCAATAATTTAGTTTATATCTTTTTTTATATTATAGATTGATCATTTTTTTTATTTGATTTCGATTTTTTATTTAATTCTCTTTTAAATGATACCCAAAACATTAAACTAACTTTTTCATTTTAAAAAAATGATTTTTAAAAAAAAAAAAAAAAATTAATCAAATTGATTATTTGTATGATTTTTACAACTAAATTTAAGAAATAATATTAGATTTTTTATTTAATTATTAGTTTTAATAAAAAAAATAATTATAAAGTAATTTATAATATTTAAAAATTATAAATATGTGTTTTTTTAAATAAAAAAATAAAGGAGATTTTGATCCATGTTTTAATCCATGTAGTGGTAACAGTAACATTATTAATATTGATATTGATATTGGTCATCGTCGTAAAAGATGCTTCTAAATTTACTCTAAAAAAAAATTATATTTATATATTACCTTAAACTAATTCGAGTAATTCTAAAATAACCTATCTATTTTTGAGATCTCTTAAGAGTGATTCTTTGAGCGTACTAAATTTTAAAAGTTGATGATTTGTTTGTTCTTTTAAAAGATTTAACTTTTCTTCCATTCATTGTCTTATCTCCTCTTCGATATTTTCAATTTTCAGTTTTACAGTAATTGAGTATTTTCATTTCTAACTGTTTCTAAATGAACCTTTTGAGTCAGAAATCTCTAATTTTCAAATTTGTTCATCTTGTAACTTTCTAAGTTGTTCAGCCTGCATCATCATTTTAGTTCTACAATAAACACTGCTATTTCTTTGACTTTCTATTAATTTGGTTTCTAAATCTTTTTCCATAATCCTTAAATTTTCTATTCTCTAAATGTATTTATTGAGATATATTATCATTCGAGGATGCATCCACATTTTCAAATCAGATTAGGGTCAATTTCGTCCAAATAAATACAACATACAATAATAAAATAATAATAACCAACCATATGGGTGTGTAAAGGAAATAAAAAAGATATAAACGTAATTACTAACCATTATAATTGTTATTAATCAATATTAGTTGTATTCAATCAGACCTATTATTCTTTCATTAAATGGGAATAAATCAAAGAATTGCTCCAAGAAAACAAAATCTTAGAATCAAAATATAGAAAAATAAACAATTAGTTATAAAAAATAAATAAAATAAATAACACTTTTAATTTTTTTATTTTTTTTAAAATTTATTTTTTTTAATTTATTTATTTATTAAAAAATAACATCCTTCGAGAGTTGAATGTTGTTTTTGATTGAATGTTTTCTTTATTGATATTTCATTATCCATTTTTGAAAATACCTAATTATCCTTCTAAGTTGTTCAACCTGTATCATTTTAGTTGGAAGCTCGTCATCGAGATTTCTTGGATCTACTGCTATTTCTTTGACTTTCTATATACTGTTTGGTTTCTAAATCTTTTTTCCTTGCTAAATTTCCTTTTACAATTCTATAACTTTCAAATTCATGTTCAATCTCTTTGATTCTATACCATTGATTTCTTCTGAAGATTGGGGGATGGTGTTTTATTAATTATATGATAATAAGTCGAATTTGGTGATGTTTGGGTGTGACTGTTATTTATTAATGAGGACTGCCTTTGGTTTGGTATTATATTGATTTTTAATTTTTATAAAATGTTTTAATATTAACTTTCTTAAAGGCTCATAATAACCGAGGACTGATTATTGATTTACTGAGTAAATATTAATATTGGGGTATTTAAATATTGTGCTCGATTATTAAATTTATTTTAATACTGAAAAGATTTCGGGTAGGCTTGATTTATTATATATTTTGCATGATTTGAATTTTACTCGAGATTGAAAGACTTTGAAAGAATTTGAGTTTCTGCGACTTTGTGACTTTTTATGATAGTTATTGATATTGGTTTTGAGATTATTATATATAGAAGTAATATTTTGTGGTTGGATTTATTAGGCCAGATATTTATATAATTGATTAAAATCCTTTCATTCATGATATCGACGACAGCAGATCTTGTAAGGGTATTGAATGGTTTTAATTGGTAAATCTATCTTTTGAATATTAATAGAAGATTATTTAGTTTATGTCAGTAATTCTGTTTCTATTTCTTCAAAGATGCCATTTTCTATATGTGGGTTTGTTGTTGCTGTTATTGTTGTTTTATTCATGTATTGATTTACTTACTTATTCTCGAAAGGTTTAAACATATTTTCAGTAATGTTAAAATTATTATTATTATTTATTGTATGTGCTATAGTTTACATTAATAAAATTATTTATGTGTTTGTTTGTTTGTTGTGTTTTGAAAAAAATAAAATAAAAAATAAAATTGTAATTATATCATGAAGATCTATATTTAATAAAAAGGAAAATGGTAAAAAATAAACATATTATTTATAAAAATAAAATTTTATTATATTTTATATAAAAATTTAATGATGTTTTATATATACTGAAAATATTTTCGATATTAAAATCATTTGATGTTCCAATATATTTGCCTGGCCAGGGAAAATGTATTTCTTCCATAAAATAGATTGAAATATGTGAGTGTTTGATTTTATTATTATTATTATTATTATTATTATTTTTTTTTTTTTTATAAAATTATTAATTATTATTGATTTACTAAAAGTTCTTTTCTAAAGCTTTAGGGTTGATGATGCTGTTGCTTATGAAAGCTGATGCTGATGATGAGGAATGCTGATGGTAATGAATGCTGATGATGGTGGTGATGATGATGAGGACCAAAATGAATGCTGATGATGATGATAATGCTGAGGACCAAGATGAATGATGATGAGGACCAAGATGAATGCCGGTGAGGATGCTAATGATGATGATGATAATGCTGAGGACCAAGATGAATGATGATAATGATAATGCTGAGGACCAAGATGAATGCCGGTGAGGATGCTCATGATGATGATGATGATAATGCTGATGACCAAGACGAATGCCGGTGAGGATGCTGATGATGATGATAATGCCGAGGACCAAGACGAATACTGCTGATGAATGCTGCTGCTGATGAGGACCAAGATGAATGCCGGTGAGGATGCTATTTATTATTTAACTACTTTGGTTATATCTTAAAGCTTATTATTGTTTGATTATTATCATTACTAAATTAATGATCTTATAATTAACTATTAAATTTTTTTTTTTTTTTTTTTTTTTTTTTTATTTTCAACCAATGTCTTCTATATTTTGTATCATAATTTAGTCTAGTTGTCCTAAGGTAAGTTAAAATATTTATTTATTATGATATAGAATTATTCTAGAAGACTAAGTTTTTTAAAATCTTTTTTCATAATAAATAAATTCTAAAGTTAATAATATAAATAGGTAGTTTTTGTAAATCTAAATTGTTGCTTTTTTAATAATTACATTGACAAAGATTGCCTTAGGTTGTGGTTCAATTTGGTGGTGAAGATTTGAATTTAAATAACTTCTAAAGTTATCAAAAATTTTGCAAGGAATCCAAACCATCATCCAAATAATAAAAAATAAAAATGCCATAGCTTTATATGACAAACTTGAAATGGAGCTTTCCAAAACTTCTGCTAAAATTTTAAATCTATATTTAAAAGAATTAGTAATCAAAAAATGTACATATAAAATGATTTAAACACTTACTTTAGTGATTTTGGAGGATCTCTATCCATACAGAGCTCCCATGCTTTACATTTCTCTTCTTTTTGAATTTAATTAAAAATAAAATTGGAATTAGTTTAAAGAAATGTTTTGATTTATAAAATTATAAATTATAAATACCTGAAGAGAGATGGTTATATTTAATATCTACATCATTTAATACTATATTAAATGTAAAATATACAGAATAAAATAAAATAAAAACTATTAAAAATTTAACTATTAAAAATAAATATTCTACTAATACTATTAGTAGATAATGATTATTATTTTTTTTATTATTATTAATTTTATTATTATTATTATTATTTTTATTATTATTATTGCTATTTAGTTGTTTTAATTTTTTTTTTATTATATTGTATTTTACTAATAATACAATAAAGAAAACAATTAATAATACTTCTAAAGTATAAATAAAAAGGTTATTATTTGAAAAATCCATATTTATATTAATATATAAAAATGAATGTTTCAAATAAATATATTTTATATTTTTATTATTGTTATGAAATTAAATTTATATGGAAAAATTATTATTGTGTTGTAAAATGTAAAAATAAAGCTATATTATTATTTGTATATGAATAAAATAATATTGAAAAAAAATAAAAATCAATTCTTTAATACAATAAAAAAAATAAAAATTAAAATAATAAAAAATAAAAAATAAATTCAAAAAAAATTTATTTATTAAAAAGATAGAACTGTTTTGAAAAATATAATTTTTTTTAAAATAATATAAGGAAAATAAAAAAAATAATTGTAAAGTAATAATTTATTTTATATCTTTTTTTATATTATAGATTGATCATTTTTTTATTTGATTTAAATTTTCTATTTAATTCTCTTTAAAATTAAACTAACATTTTCATTGCAAAAAATGATTTTTAAAAAAAATTATTTCATTAAATATTAACATTTATTTTTTTTTTTTTTGTTTTTATTTTATATTTTTTTATTTTTCATAGAATCTATTGAAAAACATTTAAACACCAATTAAATAATGAAAATATTAAACTCAAATCAGAAATTGGGAAATAAAGAAATTACACATCCAAAGAGGCCAACATATTATTGGTTTAAATAAATAAATAAATAAATAAATAAATAAATAAATAAATAAATAGCAACTAATCAAGAGAGGCAATATAAAATAGCAATTAAATTTAACCCCAAACAAAAAAATAAGATAATAAAAATATTATTAACCCAAAAGTTTTTTATATTTTAAAATTTAAATATCTTTTTAATGAATAATCTTTATTTAATTTGAATCTTCCTTTTGTAACTGTGAATAATTGATTACCTGCAAATGTGAAATCTTTATCTTTATCGTTTACTTCTTCTATTATTAATTTTATTATTGCATTGGATAACTGAAGCCTTAAGCCATCTTTCAATTGTAAAACCTGTATATAATTGAAATTGTAAATAAATAAATGAAATCAAGTAAAACAAGTATATCACTTTTAGTTTTTTGTTGTGGTCTTCTTTATTTTATGCAAAAAAAGTTGATTGCTAACTAATATTTAAAAATTACTTTTGATTCATAAACTGCCTATATAATATGGCGTCTATTTTCTATATTTCTTCAACGATGCCAGTATATGGGTTTGTTGTTGTTGTTATTGTTGTTGTTTTAAAATAATGTATTGATTTTCTTGTTCTATAAATGTTTTGAACATATTTCGGTAATGTTAAAATTGTTATTTTTGGTTTGATGTACTATATTTTACATTATTAAAATTTTAGTCAATATCAACACGTTATGCCATTATTTATATTTATTTTTAAAAATAAAATAATTTTAATAAAAAATTTTTATTTTTATTTTTTTTTTTTTATTTTTTTTTTAATTTTTTAATTTTTTTTTGGATCTAAAGACTTTTTTCGATCACAACAAACAAACAAACACATAGATAATTTTAATAATGTAAACTATAGCACATCCAATAATCAATAATAATTTTAACATTACTGAAAATATGTTTAATACCTTTCGAGAACAAGTAAGTAAATTAATATATTATTTTAAAACAACAACAGCAACAACAAACCCATATACATAGAAATTTGCATCGTTGAAGAAATACAGAAAATAGAAACAGAGTTACTAACATAAACTAAATTAACTTTTATTAATATCCAAAAGGAAGATTTACCAATTAGAATTATTCAATACCCTTACAGGATCAGTTGTCGTCAATATCATGAATGAAAGGATTTTAATCAATAACATAAAGATTTAGACTATGTTTATTAAATACAGCAAACCTATTAAAAGAGATTTTATACTATTTACAAATAATAAATACCAATCCATCCACCAACTATCGCTGAATAATAATAATAATAATTTCAAAATTAATAGCAATAACAATCATAAAAACATTGGCAAAATAAAAGATTAAACTTAGATCCAACAAAATACTAAACACTAACAAAGATATTCAATCTAATCAACTATTTATATGAATCTTAATACATTTGCTTTGGAATGATAGAACACAAATAGTTTAGATAAAGAAAAGGGTAAACTTCAGCTTTCGTAAATTTTGTTCTAATTGTGAAACAGTCCAATGGTTTTAGCTTATCAAATATATTTAAAATATGACCCCCAAAGAATTTAGTATCTGATAGAGGTTCAAGTTTCATAAATGAAGTCGTCGTTTCAATAAACAAATTCTTTAAAGTAACTCCAACTTTCGCTTGCCATTCTTAAACATATGGTTTAACTGAAAAGTTTAATTCATCTTAGTTCACAAGTGCCTAGATTTTATTGTAAAGAAGACAATACAAATGATCCACAACAATCAATTGGTTTTGCTTTATTCTCATATAGTATTATGCTTCATCCTTCTACTGGCATCTCCCACCATTTTTTCAACTTTATAAATGCAAACTTATAATCAGAATTGCCAAGTACTAGAACTGTTCAAGTATAGAGGTTATTTATTCTTTGTAGAAATGAAAATTAAAACCTATGCAGATTGCAACTTATACACGTAATGTATCTTTAATTAAATTAAAATATGCAAGATATATAATAAATCAAGCTAACAATCACAATTTAATAATCAAAACAGGATTTTAGCAATCAATTAAATAATTCAAAAAATTAATCAAGTATATATTTAAATATCTTATTAAGATTCAAAACAATTCAAAAAGAGAAAGGATAGTATAACAGTAGAAATTGGGAACCTCCTAACTTGGTATAAAGACTTAGGTCCTAAGACAACACAATATTTAATTTTTGAAGCACATGACACACCAAATGCCACAACCACAACATCTGCAGCAACAACCAGAAACAATAGCAGCCAGACCAAGACTACCTGAAAAAAAAAAGTATTTATTTCAATGAAATTGACCAACGAAATCTTATTAAAGAATGTGATTATAAATTTTTTTTTGGATGCATCCTCGAATGATAATTTATCTCAATAAATACTTTTAGAGAATAGAAAGTTTATAGCTTATTAAAAAAGGTAGAAATTTTTGGAAAATAAAAACTAAGAATAAGGTTAAAATTAATCAATAAAGAAGTGCAGCTCAAAATTTTCTTATCAAAAGCAGAAAACAAAATCAAAAGTCCCAAAGGTTATATTAAGGAGTTAGAAATCTTTTGGTGATTCCCCTCGTTCATCTGGTTCACAATCTGCTTCAAGTGCCTCTGCCATTGGGGAAAACGATCAAGTATTAAAAGTAAAATACATTTTATTAGCAAAGAAATTATTTAAAAAAGAAGAGGAGAAGAGAGAACTTTTAGAACAATTAGAATTAACTCAAGAAGGTCTTCAATCCGAAAATCACAATACAAAATCAGAGATTATAATTTTTCAAGATAAATTCAATAAGTAATCTTTCAACACTGGTCATGATACTTCAGTTGGTATATCAGAAGTTTCACCAAGTTCTCGTACTGATAGAGGGGATGGATCCATCAGCATTGTTTTCTAAGCATGAATGCATTCATTAGTTTTACATAGAAATCGATTAAAAGTATGAAATCGAATGTTGGTAGTTCAAATGCAGGCAGTTATAGAATTACAAAAGAGAATTTAGCAATGGAAAAAGATTTAGAAACCAAAAAGTTAATAGAAAGTATTTTTGTTGTATATCCAAGAAATCTCGATGACGAGCTTTTAACTATAAATGATGATATAGGCTGAGCAACACAGTTAGAAATGAAAATACTCAATTAAGACAAAGAATGGAAGAAAAGTTAAATCTTTTAAGAGAACAAACAAATCTTCAACCTTTAAAATTTAGTACGCTCAAAGAATCACTCTTAAGAGATCTCAAAAATAGATGTAAATAGGTTATTGATTTAGAATTTGTTTAAGACCAATATCAAGATCGTAATGACAGTTTGAAGCATTCCAAGAAACCGGTGGAAAAGATCAAGAGACAATTTTAATTCAAACAAAATTTGACGAAATATATAATAAAGAATTATTTTCAATTATAAAAAATCATAAACATCATTTATATTAATTAAATTAACAGATAACAATAAGTAAAAAAGTATATTTAGTTCATTTTTATATTTCAAGAAATTATAATTTTATATAATTTCTTAATAATTAATAAAAAATAAAGATTAAGCATTTATTAAATATTTTAAATAACTTTTATTTTCTTATTTTATTTCTATTTTAATGAATTATTTTGATTGCTTCTATTGGCGTGGGTGAAGTAGGATGGATCATTTGAATTTACATAGACCAATTTAATAACCATAATTACCAAGAATAAACAAAAACCCCAATGTTTGATATGTGACTAGAAATGGTTGGCACTGAAAAAGAAAGAATAAACAAAAACCCCAATATTTGATTTATAAGAAATGAAGGTTGATAAAGATGAGATTGTTTTTAGGATGTAGCTGACTTTTTTTTAATTTCATCGATCAATAATTGAAACATTGAATGAACGATTTTATTAATAATTTAGTCTTCATCGATTTCTAAAAAGAAACATAGAGTAAAGTATTTAAACTATTAATTTAATCGCCACCTATTTCAATATTAATCGAGTATCCATTATCTAAAAGATCATCATCATCTTAATGTATATCTTCATCTTAATTGCCTTATAAGCCTTCATAACTCCCAGTACTTCTATAAAGTATCAATGAAAAAAATTAATATAATTCATCTAATTAATATATAAATATGAATGTGTAAATTACTTACAATGATATCATCAAATGGATCTTCACAAAGTGGGCAGGTTTTGTCACTAAATGATCTTTTTAAAATACATTTATAACAAAATTGATGTCCGCATCCAATAAAAGCCAAACGGTGTGGTTTTATATCTGCTGAAATACATTTGGAGCAAAAACCTTCTCTAATCAATCTGTCTTTTATTGATTTTTGGTATTCTTCCCATTCTTTTTCTTCTTTTTCTTCTTTTTCCCTTTTTTTTATTATTTCCAAATATTTTGATCCAAATATCCATTCTTTTCCTTCAGAGGTTGATGATAAAATTGTGGATGGAGCAGATGAATTTGGTGGTGGAAACTGTGGTCTAAGGTGTGATGGGAAAGTTGTGAGACCAAATAGATGTGATGGGGATTGATCATTTGTTCTAAAATATTGTGGGTGTTGTTGTGGGTGTTGGTAAAAATTCATTTGATCAAATAAATTATTGGTTATTGGGGTATTGTTATTGCTATTATTGTTTCTATTGTTATTATATTTTTTGGCAAAATATTTAATTATAAAATATAATAATGAAATGCTGATGATAGCTAATAAAATATAAAAAACAATCATTATATAATCCATTTTTTAATTGTTATGTGAAATGTTATTTTGAAAATTATTTAATAAATATAAAAAATTATTATTGCTATTATTAAAATTTATTAAATGTCAGAATATTATAATAAAAAAATAAAGGTATATGATTATTTGTATGTATATAAAATAAAGAAAAGAAAAAAAAAAAAAAAAAAATTTTTAAAAATGAAAAAGTAAATTAAAAAAATAAATTAAAAAAAAGGCCCTTTCAATGACACTTTTTCTTCTAAGTTCGCCACCCCCATTAGTTTTTTAATTTTTAATTTTTATTTTTTAATTTTTATTTTTTTTAAATTTTGATACCCCTACTGACACATAATTTAAATTTTTAATTTATTTTTTTTCATTATTATTGATATTTTTTTTTTTTTTAATTATCATTTATAAAATTTTAATAATAATAACTTCAATAAAAATAATAAATTTTAAAATAATAACTACATTATATAATTCAAAATGATTCAAAAAATAATAGGCTTTATTTCAAAAATTATAACCTATTTATTTGCTTTAATTTTTTCCATCTTTTCAAAAATAAAAAGAAATCAAATATTTAATCAAGAGTTCCATGAAGATTATGATGATATCCATTATGATACCGATGAAAACTATGTCCATTATGACACTGATGAAGGCTACACAGAGCCATTCCGTTTGGTATTAAATATTAGAGTTAGAATAACAATTTTTTAGATCATCATAAAAAAAACTAGACAAAAAGAAATTAAATTTCCATCACACACTCGGGTTGAATAGAGTCTTGGTTGTTTTCCAATTTTAGCTTTTATATTTCAGCTTCCATGGTGGTTGGTGCGCATTTAATTCAAGAATTATTAAAAGGAACTTCATATGTACACAAACGAAAGGAAAAAAAATAAAAAAAAAGTTATTGTTATTTATTTTAATTAAATATTCTAAAAGGGGTTGTATATTTTTTTCATTTTAAATTATTATTATAAAAAAATTATTATCACAGAGTTCATTTTATTACTTTATATGAGTTTTAAAATAATCATCTATATTTTATAAAATAAATTAAATACATATATTTAAAAAAAAAAAAAAAAAAAAAAAAAAAGAAATTATGTTTCTGTAAGGAAAAAAAGAGATAATTAACTATTTATTTAGAATTTTTATTTTTGCCTTTGCCCTTGCCTCTTCCTTTACTTTTACCTTTGCTACTGGATGATGTTGATTCCATACCGGTATCACTCATGTCGAAGCTATCTTCGTTGTTGAGGCTTGTATCCAAACTATTGTTTAAACTATTATTATTATTATTTTTGCCATTGGTCTTTATGCACTAATTAGATTTATTGCCAAACCAAGAGTTTACAAGTCAAAACTTGCCCAAATATTAATTTATTCTTTGGCCTCACCATTTTGATAGTATTATAAATTTATTATTTTTCATTTTTTTTTATATTTTTTGATTTGATTATTTTAACTATAAAATAATAAAAAAAAAAAATATAAATAAATTGATTATAAATAATTAAAATAAACTATAATCGAATTGATTATAAAAGAAAAGTATTATTTGTATATTGATAAAGTAATAAAGAAGAAAAAAAAAATGATTTTTAATTTATTAATTTTTTTTTAATTTATATAAAATTTTTTTTTAATTTTATTAATTTTTTATTTAAATTAAATAACTATACTTCACTTCACAAATAAAACTTTAAAATCCACATTTCCATAACAAATCTTTCTTTTTTATAATTACTATTAAAATATTGAGTAAATATCATAGAACCATATAATATCAATAATAACAATAACAATAATAACACAACAGCAACTTCATAATAATCATCATTCAGTTTAAACAATAGTAATAATTATTCAACAAAAGTAGCATTAGCATTTAGTTTAAAAAATAGTTATAGTAATAATAACAACTATACAACAACAGCAGAACCAGAACAGGATGTAACAGCATATTTTGAACAAGGTAATACCAAAATTATAGGATAATTATTTAGTTAGAGGTGACTCTACAACCATCAATAAAAAAACAGAAAGAAAAAGACAAAGATGATAGAGTGACAGTAATTTTTAAAAAAAATTTAAATAAAACTTAAAAACTATATTTTATTTTATTTTATTTTATTTTATTTTATTTATTTTAATAATTTTATTGGTAAAGAAAAAGTTAAGTAAAACTTAATAAAATGGGACATACAGCACTACATGATGAAACATGATATGTATTGCTACTAAAATTTACGTATTCTATGCCACCAATATGATACAGGATTTAAATTATGAATAAATTTTTTAAAAAAACATATAACTCTACACATTTTTTAAATTAACTCTATAAATAGACCATTGTGAATACCACTATTAACAGAATATCATTTTAGCTCTTTCATTTCGGGAAATTATAATTTGTGCATGTAATTGAACCCATTTCGCACCCGTAGCAGTTATGCATCATTTTTTTTTAATTATTAATTACAGTGCCCGGTTTATATGTAAACCCCCAAGTTTATTTTTATTTGTTTGCATCGAATCAGGTTCCAGTATAATCTACTTCAATGGATGATAACTAGTTGATAAACTTTTAGCTCTGTATAATTGTAAACTTGTGAAGAATTTGATGGTAATGATGAAATGTGAACTCTGAATTGGTAACCATATAATTAAATTTCTTATTTTAATATCAGCTCCTCCAGCTCTTCTGCATTTACTCTTATTGTACATCAAATGTGAATATATTATATTGGATTGATGTTTATTATCTAATAGGGAAAAAGGGGTTTTTAAATTAAATTATAAATGATAGAAATAAAATAAGCAGTGGGAAATGGGTGAAAAATTTAAAAAATTATTTTAATTATTTAAAAAGGGTATTTTTTAATATATTTCAAAATAAAAGAAATATTATTCTTTATTAGATATTTTTATAACAAAATGTGTAAAGAAAAATAATTATTCTGATAATGTTCTCAATGTTTTATATATTTTAAACTATTTTTTTATATAATTTTTATTTAAAAAAAATTAAAATAAAATATGTAATAAATATTTTTGTTTTTAAATATATAAAATATTACTAATTTAACATATTTTAATGATACCCCAACTAAAGATGAGAAAATAGAAACAACAAAAAAGAAAGATAAAGGAGAAGAAAGAGAAAATAAAGTAAATTAAAATAAAAGAAATTAAAAATAATTTTTCAATTTTATTTTTAACAATAAATAATAATTATCTTTATAATTTAAAAATAATAAACTATATAGTATTTGAAATTAATAAATCTTTTTATTTTAAATCTTTTTTTAACATTTAGCTAGGTATTCTGGATATCATTTAAGAGAGAATTTAATGAAGTTTTCAAATAAAAATATAGAATAAATTATTATTCACAATTTAAAATTATAAAATAAAATAAAATCTATATAGCTATAAAATATAAATTATAATAATTTAATAAAAACATTATATTAAACAATTGATTATTTTTTATTTTATTTTTTTTTTTGTAATTTTTAAAAATTTTTTAAATTTCTTTTTTTTTTTTTTCATTTATTAAAATTAAAGCTTTCGTTCACTCACACATATTTTTTTACATCCAGCTATTTTTTTTTACATTAAATCATATAATTAAATTTTTTATTTTTACACTTATATACATTTTATTTTATTTTATTTTAAATAATTTATTTTTCAACAAAAATGTTTAATATTTTATTATTTTGTATTTTTTTATTTATTGTTGTTAGTAGCATTTTTTATTACTATTTTGGTAAAATCTTATTCAAGAAATACAAGGGTTGCCGTTGCTCTACCACTAAAGGAGAATATTGCCATTATTGTGCCTTTGATAACGATTACTGGGGAATTCAATATATAGAAAGCCAAAAACTAGAATATGATCATATAATAGATAGACACAGATTATATGACAGACAAAGTTCCCAACAACACACATTCATAAGGGAACAATGTGAGGAGAGGCTACAACTATATCAATTTCAAATAAAACAACAGCAAAGACTAGATATTCCATTTCAGCAACAACTACAACTCGAACAACAACAAAGACTTCATTTAAAACAACATCAAGTTCTACAACAACAACAACTAGATCAGAAACAGTACCAAATAAGACAACAACAACTACAATACCAAAGACAACAACAACAACAACTATTTCACCAAGTAGAGCAACAAACATCTACAACAACTTAGAACAAAAAAAACAACAACTACACAACAACAACAACAACAAAACGTTATTTTTGCAGAATACTTTTAGAAATAATAACCAAAAAAAATATTAGTTGATGAAATTTATAGTTGTACCAAAGAAATATGTAAAATCTAATTATGAAGAGTTCTTATTTGTTCGTTCAATTCCCGTTTTT